CATTGGAATTCCTTTGAGTCAAGAGAGGAAAAATTCGTTAAAATGTTTTGACGGACTGTATTGTCAAACTTTTTAAAGCTTATTAAGGTATGACAAGGCTACTTACATTTTTCCCCATCAATTCCATCCAGTTTGGTCTTCCTTCCTTAGTCTCTGGACCATCTTCWGAGCTACCTATAGCAGACAACTCCGTACTATCTTCTGAACTGTCATCATCTCCATCATCTCCATCATCATCATCAAAACCTACATAAATAATTGGAGAGTAAGAATAAATGATTTCTAAAACTGTTTTACCTTGATCTGGTTCGATGCCGGTGGCCCGTGGTCCTTCAAAGAAAACATTACTAGCCGAATTTGATAAATTTGGATAAGATATTTTGAATACTCTTTTTGAGCTAACGTAAATAAAGCAAAATGAGCTCACTTATAAAGTTTCCACGTGTTAACGTTACGTTCTTCTTGGTCTCTTGTTCCTGAAATGCAAAGGACAATGGGTTGTTGAAAAATGGTTGCAGCAGAGAACATAAAATGACAGAAAGGGCAAGAATACTGAGTAAAAAAATATAGAAGAAAATGTCAAAGGAAAATAGAAATTGGCGCATGCTGTTGATCAGTCTTTTGGGAAGACCATGAATGAGTTTAGATCAGCCTTAAAACGAATTTTATATTAAAAATAATAACGGATCGATGGGGAAATTAGACGACGGAAAGAGAATCAAGAAAATAGCACAAATTGAGGCAGGAAATGACGAGGACAAAGAGAGGGATGTGAAATTGAAGACCGGCAAAAACGTTATGGACACTTGTGATAATTTGATGATTAGTTTTATATACAGCTATTTCAAAAAAACGTTGTCGGGGAGAACGGTGAACGGCAATTGTCGAAGGGAGATTGCACGACCGAAAGAGACTATGGTGCACTATTTTGATATACAGAATTTCACTTATTGGATTCACCTTACATAGAAATGGTGACTAAATGGAGCCAATCTTTACCACAGACCACCTTACATTACAAATATTAAGTTGTTACTGCCTTTCAACTAGCAAAACCCATGACTACTTTCGGTCGTGCAATCGCCGTTCGACCATTGACAATCGCCATTTTACCCGACAACCTTTTTTGAAATAGCTATATCTTTTCATTTATGACCGACTTGCCTTTGGGATTTTGGTCTTGTGTTTATTGGCCGCTGTTAGAATGCAACCTAGTAGTACCAGCAAGACCACGACTGGGGCCAGCCTTGAGAACTTCATGACTCCTCAAAGATTACCCTATTTTGCAAAAACAATAATTTCGATTCATTGATTATATGACT